TCCTTTTGTAAAATGGATGGGTCTAAGAGGGATAAAAGACATTTATCAGCGCAAAAGCAATACAGAAAGAAAGATAAAAGTTAAAATAAAGAACTTTCCTCTCAGGGAAGAAATTTATTAGGCACTGTTACATATGTGTCTAGATATTCTCCAAAAGCTTCATGCAATCATAGATGGAGACTTCAGTAGAGGTTGGATCTATGTGTGAGGCTGGGATTAATGTGTGATGCTAGGATTAAGCTTGTGAGGCTGGAATTAAAGGAGTGTGATTACTGAATTAGTTCATTGCATGATTTGGAAAAGTTCTGGGTATGTATAATGCAAAGGCCTACCCTGAGTGTGGGTAATGCCACACAAAGAGCAGGTAACCTGGATTAAATATAAGGGAGATGGAGAAGCAGAGGGCTGCTACCATCTTCTGTTGCTGTTGCAATTTTGTTACTTCACTGTATTGCTGACTTCTACCTGCCAAGAACTGTTTTTCCTCTATGCTGCGCTTCTGCCATGCTACCCTGCCTTGGAGCCAAGGCAGACTGAAACCTCTACAAATTGTGAGCAAAAATACAGTTTTCCTTGATTAACTTTGAGTGTTAGGTATTTTGTCTCAGTGATAAGCAAAGTAAGACAAGCATTGTATTATAAATTAACAGTTCCTCTTAACCTCTGGAGAAATTTAGAAATGCTGAATAACCAATTTCGGGTAAGTAGTATAGTGTAACACTAGATGGCCTCTCAAAGTCCCATGCACTTTTAGATGAGGCTACTGGGAGGTGATTAGATTGTGATGGCGTTATACTTACTTCCTTTTTTGCAACTGATTATCAGTTAATTAAAATAATTGCTTTAGAAAACCTCAGTGACTTCAATTAAAAATTCAATCAAAACTGGCAAAATCACTTGAAAGAGACTGAAGATACAGTTTCAAATCCTGAAGTTGGGATTGCAGCTAGTGACTGTGAAAGGAAAGATCTCTTAAAAATAATCAGAATCAGGAAATAATAACCAAATGGCTGCAAGATGATGCAAAGAAGCATAATTTAAGATTGGCAGGTATCAATGAAAAACCAGGGGTTAACACAAAAGAAACTAGAAGGATATTGACAGGAATAATAGAAGTATCCAAACATGTAAAATGGATCTGGCAAGCAGATATGTGTGGCATATAAGAATCCAACTAACCATAACCAAAGTAAATCTACACCCAGGCATATAATAATCAAGATCTCAGAAATTCAGCAGAATAACAGAATATTAAAAGATGCTAGAATAAAGAGATAGATCACCTATAAAAGAAAACCAATCAGAATCACAGCAGCAGAACTATCAACACAAACCATCAAGCCGAGAAGAGTTTGGAGTGAAGTGTTTCAAACCCAGAAAGAAAACAGTTTCCAACCCAGGTTGATCTACCCTGAAAAACTGTCTTTCAAATTTGGTGGAATAATAAGATACTTCCATGATAAAAGAACAATGGAAGGAATTCATCGCTATGAAACCAACCCTACAGGATTGCTAAACAATATTGTAGAGAGATGAAGATGACCATGGCTCCAGGAACAGTAGCAGAGAAGAACTGCCAAACATGACAGGCAATTTAATGAAGGGGGGAAATGAAGGGCCTACTACAGGAAGATAGCAGGGCAGAGACAAACCAATGTATGCTGAATGTAACCATTAATGTAGACAGCCTCAGGTCAGCAATAAAAAGAATCCCAGGGAGAGTGGATCAAGAAACAAGATCCATCGATGTATTGTACAAATGAAACACATTTAACTGGAAGGAAAATTCATAGACTGAAAATCAAAGGAGAAAAAACAATTGTTTCACGTGAGAGGAGACCAAAAAAAAAAAAAAAAAAAAAAAAAAGCAAGAGTAACTTTCCCATCAACTGCAAAATGGATAAGAATGATACTGTATTTTCATGCAGTGGAAAACTACACAACTATAAAGTAGAATAATCTGAAGGGTCTTGTAAGTAAACAGACAAAATTAGAGATCATGTACCTGGCTAAAACAGTTCAATGTCATATTCTTGTATTATCTTGAACTCTTGCATTCTTTACACAGTTTTGTTAGGTTTGGCATTGTTCTGTCTTGTTTTGTTAGATTTTTACTGTCAGATGTAGGGACAGGTATTTTTAATGTAATGGGGTATATTAGGGTCATTATGGTTTCTTATATTGCTTTGAAGTCATATAATGCTTTCATTCATTGGTTTGATTGGTTTTATTCTGTTTTGTTTGATTTTATTATGTGATGGTATGAACAGCTATTTTGAAGAATACAAGACATTATGGTAGCCATCGCTGATTTACTCTCATCTTGTTTTCAAGTTGTATCATGCTTTTGTTCTTCTGTTTTGATTGGTTCTATCCTCCTGTATTGCATTTGATTTTATTATGTGTGACAGTGTACACAAATTTTTTGAGGAAAATGAAATATCGTAGTAGCCATTATTCATTTCATGTTATTTTGTTTTGAAATTCTGTAATGCTTTCATTCTTTTGAATGGTTTTATACTATTTTGCTATGTTTGATATTATTGTGTATAAAGGTATGCTCAACTATTTCAAAGAAAATAGACATACTGGTAGCTACCGTTGATGTCCAGTTATCTTGTTGTCAAGTGCTGTGTTGCTTGCATTGTTCTAGTCCTTTTTGCTTTGTACTGCTGTATTTTGTTTTATCCTCTTTAAAATTAAAAAACTAAAACTGTTACTGGTATCCAAAATCTATAGTGAATCCCATGAAAGCGCAAGAGGAGGAACTGTATAAAAAGGGAAGGCAGTAGCCATTATTCATCTATTATTATAATTTGAAACACATATTGCTTTCATTGTTCTGTTTAGTTTGGTTTTATTCCATTTCAGTTTGTCTATTTGCATTAAATTTGATGGCATGAGTTCGATCCCTGGTACCGATAAAAAGGAAAAAGACAAAAAAATTTTTTTTGATGGCATGGATAGTTATTCCAAAGATAGCAGGATATATTATAGTAACCATTTTTGATTTCCTATTAACTTGATTTGAAGCCCTGGATTGCTATCACTATTTTATTTTGACTGATTGTGTTCTATTCTGTTTAGTTTGATAGTATTAAGTCTGAGGGTATAGGCAACTACTTTGAGGACAATAAGATACACTATGATACTCATTCTGGTTGGACTATTATCTTTATTTGAAGTCCTATAATGTCTCCAAAGTTTTGTTTTTATTTGTTTTGTTCTGTACTATTTTTTTCAATTTTATAATGCCAGATGATATGGGTAATCCTTTTGAAGATAATAAGAGGCACTATGGTAGCCATTATTGATCTCCTTATAATTTTTTTTAAGTCATGTACTATGCTGATCCTTTTGTTTTGATTGACTGTCTTGTTTTGTCTCATTTGATGTTCTCTTCAAAAAAAAAAAACACTAACACATCATTAATTCTATGAAAGAAAATTCATTAAATAACTAAAATATGAAGTTTATTAAATTGAGTAGAAATTTGTATAACTCATAAGTAAGCTATTACATGCGACGTATTCATAAGTAACATATAACATGGGAAAAAGTACACTGTGAATACCCTTACCCCAAGGAACCTGGGATGGCTACTTTGATTTTCAGCAGTCAATGTAAAAGAAAGGAAACATCATTATAAATAAAGGAGAGTATGTAGCATGAGGAAGATGTAATATCTCTAAACATTTCTGTATGGAATAGGATATATCAAGTCAGAAAATAAAAGATGTCGCAAAAAATGAGACAGCTTACAGAGCTCAGTTTTGACAGTTTTTAATATACCTCTGTGAATACAAAGAAATCACTAAGTATAAGATTTAAACAACATGACTTCATGATACATTTAAAACTCAGAATTTTTCAAAGAGAAATATACTCCTTTTAAGTGAGTGTGAAACATTCATGTATGGAAATTGTGAAATGGAAATTCTAGATACCTAACATGCTAAAAAGTGGAAACTAGAAAATACATGAACAAAGGTAATGCAACAAACCAAAATTTTAGATATGCACTAAAACCATGTTTAATGAACTTTTTTAAATCTTAAAACCCCTGACAGGAAAATAACAGCTAAAATAAGGTACTGAAGAATCTACATTAACAAATCAGAAATATTAGTCAGCATTGTGGCCCTTGTCTCTTATCCCAGCAATAGGGAGGCTGATGCAAGCACACAGCTTTGAATTTGAGGCCAGCCTGGGCTTCAAAGCAAATTCAAGGCCAGTCTGGAGTAGCAAGATATTATCTCAAAATAACAAAAAGAAAGAAGACAAAAAAAGTGAAAAGAGAAAGTGGTGAAAGAAATATAAAAGTAATGTCTAAGGAACAGAGAGAAAATAATAATAATATAATATGACAGGCCCAACATGGTCAAAAGTTAGTTCTTTGAAAACTTTAGGAATTGATAAAACTCTCATCACAGTGAGACAAAGAATAAGAGTAGGCTGGTAGTGTAGTGCAGAGATAGAGTCCTTGCCTCACATGAACAGCCTGGAATTGATCCCAAGTATCAAGAAAAAAAAAAAAAAAAGGAAGAATATAAAAGATGAGGTCTGGAGATTTAGATCAGTGATATAAGTGACTGTCTGGTAAGCATGAGATCATGAGTTTGATCCCCCCCCCCAAAAAAAAAGAACAAGAGATGGAAAACAAATTTTCAATACCAGTTTAAATAATTACACACCAAAAGTCTTACAGACATTGACAAGATCATAAAAACATGAACCAGCTATTAGCAATAAACTGGTTGATTTTTATTTATTTTTTGGATTATGATTTTGGATTTTTGGATAACTTGAACAATGTACAAAAACTACAAATTACTATGCTGACAAAAAATGCATATCCAAATGGATTATGTGAATAGAGGTACACTTATTTTTTTAAATAGTCTATAAAAGTTAAAACTTTATTTAAAAACTCTTCTGTCAAATCATTGCAACAACAAAAGTGTACATTTCTGCCTACTCCAGGGACAAAATGGAGGGAACATTTTTCAACATATTTTATTAGGCAAAATTTCCTTAACATCAATACTTGACGAGATCATGGCAAAAAATAAAAGAACACAAATCCATAGCCCTAAAGAAAATATTCACCTACTGAGTCCACCTACATGCATTCTCAACAAGATAAATAACATATGGTACTGTAATTTCAATTTGCCACTTGAAAATAAATAAAAATCAACAAAATAAAAAAGATAAACACCTTGTCATTTAAGGACTGCAGGGAATATATCTGATAAATTATGACATTTGGGTGGAACTCTTGATACCATTTCAAAATAAGTTCTTCATTTTATACTGATATATATTGTAGTTTATCTTAAAATCTACAGGAAAACTGTTAATTAAAAGTAGTAGTTATTTTATGAAATATAACAAGATTGATTGCTGTGTTAACAACTAACTTTCTGGGCTTCTCATTGTGAAATCCAATCACTAAACATGACATCATGAGGTCTCAGAAGATGCCTTCACATCGCCTGTAAGAACACAAGCAAAACAGTTTTTGGTAAAAGATATCGACACATGCACAGCATTACTCACAATGCACAGCGTAGCTCAAGTGTTCACAAATGGATGAGTGGATGCACAGTGTGTGCAGGCAATGGAACATTACTTGACTTAAAGAAGAAAGGAATTTTGATTTTAAAGAGAAAAAAAAAAAACAATAAAAGCAATGATCCAGAATTTCATAACAATGTAGTAGGAAATTCACAATGGTTAATATACTGTGATTTGTTAACTTCAAAACACTTGCTCAGATTACCCAATAGATATAAGCATGAAAAAATGATCAAACAATACAACAACAAACTGCTCTCCAGTGAAATAAAAGAAATTAAAAAATATGACTATCTTAACAATCATGAGTGTGTTTGTGAGAGTGTGTCTATTTTTATTTTTTCTTTTCCCTTTCTTCTTTTCTCTTTTCCCCATCCCAGCTGTTCTTCCTTTTGGAGCAATTTCTTTCTATTTCATAATATCTATTGTAGACTTGGTATCTAGTTTACACTTCCACTTTCTTATATTAGGGAGATAAAATGATGTTTACACATGTGCATCTCATTTATTCACTTAAGAGTATGGCCTCAAGTTGCATCCATTTACCTGTAAAATACTCAAGTTTATCCTTCTTTGTAGCTGAGAAATACCCCATTGCATAAAATCCCACAATATCTTTGTCTATTCCTTGGTTAATAGACATTTGGGTTGTTTCCAACATTTGGCTATTACAAATTTTGCACATATATTTCTCTCGTATGATGCTTTTCATTCTTCTGGAAAAGTACCCAGAAGGGAAATAATGAGCTTGAATGAGACATCTAATCCTAGCTTTTTAAGGACTCTCCACACTGATTTCCATACTGGTTGTACCACTGTGTACTCCTACCAGAACTGAAAAAGGTTTGCATTTGCTTTAAAGCCCCACCAGCTTTTATTAGTTGATTTCTTGATGATAGCCATTCTTTCTGGGGCTAGATGAAACCTCAGTGTTCTTTTAATTTGCATTTCTCAATTGAACAACAATGTTCAACAATGTTGAACAACAATTTTTATTTACCACTTATATTTTTAAGGAAGGAAATTTTGATGCAAGCAGGAACATAAGCAAATTTTAAAGATGTTATGCTAAGTGAAATAGTTCAGTCAAAACAAGACAATATCAAGGATTTCACTTGACACATATAACACAGTCAAATTTACAGGGGTAAAAGTGAAACAGTTACTGCCATGGCCTGTATAAGCCAGAAATGAAGAACTGTTCAATATGAAGATAGTTTCAATTTTGAAAGATCAAAGGATATCTGGTGATGAATAAAGATAATAATAGCAAACTACATGAGTATATTTAACAGAATAAAAATGGCAAATACAGTAACTTTTAGGTTATGTGTAGTGCACCACATTTTATAAATTACAGTTAAAAATAGAGAAAATGTGTAGGGCAATCTGCTATAAACTGTTGAAAAGTGCGAAGGTTAAGAGGGTGGATGGAAAAGATATATAAATAATAAAAACTCACAAGCGTCTAAAATACCATAATGCAAAACACAGGAAGAAGATCAAACAGGAAACTATTGCCAAAATGACCCAGCCAATGGGATTGGAATGTCCTGACAATTGGAAGAGAGAACAGAGAATATTACTTTAAATCCCACATTATTCCAGGTCTTGCTCTGTCTAGGTAAATAGTAAATTTTCTCTAACCCCTTCCCTCCATTTCCTCTGTTTTCCCTTCTCTGCCCCCATTCCCTTCACCATTCTGGCTCCCCATTTCCTTTCTAGCCCCATTTCTTTCTCACCCCAATAGAGGACAATGTCCTGTCCTCCTAGACTGCTGTGTTTCACTCGGCAAGACAGACCAGTGGCTTCCTCAGTCACCACATCCAGGGTCACTCGGAGATACCATGTGTCATCAGCATTGGGCAGGATGTCCCCTCTCTGAGTTTCAGGCAGCTCCTGCTCACCCCGCATCCACATCACCCACACAGGCTTTGGGTAGAATCCAGAGACATGACACACCAGCTGCAGATGGCCAGGCTCATGAGTGGAACCACTGGACAGCCATGCCTTGGGTTTTACTATGTCAAGAAAAAGCAGGAAAGTATTAAATTAGTATTCTAACACAAATCATGTTAATCCAAACACCTACAATCTGGATAGTGAGACTTTCATTCTCTAGGAATGAAATAAGTTATTGAGAACCCCACTTACACACCTTTCTACCCTTGAGCTTGAAGAAAGTGACAGAAAATGTAAACAGAACTAACCTTGCCTGTGTAGATCTGCCTTTCCTGCTTGAAGGACACCCAAGAGATATTGAGGACAGGTTTCATACAGCAGCTTCTCCACAGTGTAGAAGATATCATGATATGGAGCAAGTAGTTTGCACACTGTCTGTGCCCTGCTGCCACCTTCTGGGGCAGGAACACAAGAAGAATTCTTGAAACTCACAAAGTCCAGTCCTCCAAAGGCTCCTTGCAAAAAGCTTACAATGGCACCTCCAGAATGCAGCTCACAGCCTGCAATGCCCTGGATCTCAAAAGGGTCTGTGTACAAGGAAAACAGAAGAACAAGATGTAGAAAGGCCCTGGAATTTAAATGTGAGTAAAGATAAAATTAGGAATGTGTGGTTCATAACACTAAATAATTACAGGACTTACAGTTATAAAAAGAAAAGTATGCATAGGGTCATTCAAGTCAGGATGGAGAAACTATAGAAAAATATACAGTGGTTCAATGACATAGGAGAGGTGCAGGATAAGGAACGTGTGAGCGAGACACAAGTACAGCTTTCCAAAGGGAAAAGGAGGGTCCCATTGATTGGAAAGTAAGGGGTGAATTTATAGCAGACAAACAGACCTCAAGGTAGAATTCTTCATCAATCAGAAATGAGTGCAGAGGCAGCAAACCAGAGAGACTACTCTAGACAGCCATGTGCAAACACTTCAGCAAAGATGAGAGGAGGTCAGAAGGATCAAAAAGATAGTAAGTAATCTTAATCATGACAAATCATTAAGAAAGTCCCCAGGCATAAGGTCTGGACTCACATTCCATCTGCAAGGCATTCACGTGGGCTTTTGTTTCTCGAATGAATGCAACGATATAGACCCGAAATAGCTCCACCACTTCAGACATTTCTTCATTGCTGAAGTTGCCCTTAGACCAGGGCTTCAGGAATATGGCAGTGCCTGAATCACTGTCCATGCCATGAATCTGCAAATCTCCCAACCAGCCTGAGAGTTGATATTTCACCCAAGAACTGTTGACAAAAGATGTGATTTGAGTGATATGGAAAGAGATTGGTTCTTGGAAGGCTGTGGAGAAAAGAAAGATAAATTGGTGAAGAGGAAGAGAAGCAAAGGAGAAAGAGAAAGCATGTTATTAAAATGATGCAAGAAACAAACACTGGAGTCTGTAGACCCTAGAAGGCCTGAATGATTTAAAAGCCTCAGAGCCTCAGGCTCCAGCCCCAATATCCAGAATGGTGGAAGAGACCTGGAGACAGGAAAGGTCAGAGTGTTACCCCCAAGTACACCTGTGTTAATGTAGCCTGTCTTTTCTAGATACCCCACACTACTGCAGGGGGCACCCAGAGTTCCCCTTACCATCCTGAGTGTCACCAACTGGGAAGAGAACTGCAAAAAATACCAGTTCCAGCAGCAGCATTTCACTGAAGAAAGAACTTCTAATTCCACAGCTTGCTTTTAATCTCTGAGTTCAGCAACTCTTTCTTGGTACTCTCTAGTCACTTCCTCTCTTGCAACTGACAGTCTCTTCCCCATACAAATTCTGTACCAGAGAAGAAATGTGAACCTTCACCCCTGGGACTTCTATTTCACCCTTCTTGTGTCCTCTGGCCTAACTTTCATATTTCCCTTTACCTCTATGACTTCTTTTAAGTTACCTCAGAAATGCTGCAGTGTGATTCTAAAAGATCACTTCTCCCACAGCCGTCAACCTTTATTTATATCATTAAAATAAATATATAATAGTTCACAGTTGTTCAACTTTCCTCCTACATGAATTCTTTTTGTTTATTTACCCAACTCAACCTTGCTCTCTCTCGCTCCATTGCCTTGTACACTCTCACTATTCCTTCCCAATATCCACCCTCCACTTTCTTATTTTGTTTTCCTTATCTGGTTTCTGAAACCTCACATTTAGTGATGCCTCTGTGCATGTGTATGGATGTGATCATACTCACTTACATGAAGGCAAAGCACTTAAAACAGTGGTGGACTCTAGAAGCACAGACTTTGATCAGGAATCAAATACGATAAATGACATGGCACAATTTATAACAAATACAAAAATTATTTAGCCTTTTTTATTAATTTTTGAAGGAAAATTGGCATTTGTTAGTGAAACAGAGCTTTATGATGGCTCCTGACCTTTGGAACTTTGAGTAACAAATGCTCAGGAGAACTATGCCAGCCGCAGCTGATACATAATGTCCTGTAAGTAGCAGCCTCTGTAAGTAGCAGAGCTCTTGCTTTGCAATAACTCATGACCTCCGCCTACATTTATGCCTTCCCTAGCACCACATAAATCATTACTGGGGAAAGAAGAAGTCAGCTGTGGTTTTACCAACTGTTGTTGGGTGTTTGCTCTAAGATATCATCTCCTGTCTTCTTTTTATATGCCATGAATATATATATTTAGAATACATTATGGGAACATTTTGGACTCTAAAAAACCTTAATTTAAGAATAAGTTTTAGAAATTCACTAATAAATAAAAGTACAAGTTCACACAAAACATCTTGCAGAAAACATGATAGCAACTAATTCCAAGTCTAAGATGCCATCACTGATGCTTCTACTATACCACACAAAGACTAAGCATTCTCTGTTCCAGGAAATAAATAGTTCACAACTTTAGTAAGCCTAGAATTTATCTGAGATCCTCACTGTGTAGACCAGAAAGTCATAAAAGCCATCCAAATCTTTAAATACAGAGCAGTTAACAGTCCCAAGCTGCAAAACATTACAAAGTTCTGAACTATTTTAGTATGACACACATGCAACAGCAGTGATTTAATGTTATTTCTTATTTATATGAACATTATATTTTTGGCATAGGCATTTACACTTTGATGAAATGCCCATGGTTCAGTGTATTTCACATGCTTTAGGTTCACTTGCATAAACAAAATTTAAAAACATATTGGTGTTACTTAGGAAGTGTGCAAGCTCAATTTCCTATGAATCAGTTTTCTACCCACAAGTAACAGTGATGTGGCAGCAACAGGCAGATAGCTTCAAAGGACATCAAGGACATCTGCATGGTCCCTGAAACATCTGCATACATCACAGAGAGACAGGCTCTCTAGGCATGAAGCACCAGACAGAAGTATGTTCTGAGAGTCTGTGCCATTTCTGGGAGACATTAAGCATTTCTCCATAAAGCCAGTGTTTGCAAGTCTGAACCACAGTTTCTCACTCATACAAGGGGTGTATTGTGATTATCCCCATCTTGCTTTTAAACTTAGCTGAGGGCAGCAGGCCATAAAGATGACACCAGCAAAGAAGCCTTGCACACCTAATTTCTACACAGTCCACTGCCAAGCAACACCATTAGGACTTCTCTTGCTATGAGTGACTTGCTTTGCCAAAACAAAAGCCTGAGTAGGAACAGAGATGTCACAATTCAGATTCTTGACTATCCTCATGAAGGTGCTCAGGACACAGGGTCATCCTGGCTTTGAAGAAAGTTGTGTGAAGGTAAGGATGAATAAATGAATGCTTAGCTGTTTGTACAGAATCCCCAGTAACAAACACAATCTATCCTAAAATCTTGTCCCACAATCTTGTGCTGACTAAAAGGTAAAATTTATAAAGAGTTGAGGCAAGTTACAGACTTCAAGAAAAAATAAAGTACAAGGCAGATGGGTACAACAAGAGAGAACTGTCATCTACTGACGACTGTGGACAGTGCTGAGGTTCCCTATACACTGAAGCAGGGCTGTGCACAGTAGAGAAGGAAGTGAAACTATGCAAAGAAAATAGAGGCAAATAGTTTTTCCAATGGGTTTCTTTAACGCTGTGATATTTATCAAGTAATCATAGTCAACAAGTATTTTTCATACCATTTGATATGTCTAATAGTTTATGACATGTATATGTTAACTTATTCATTTATAAACACAGGGGTTTAGTCATGTACTCAACTGCTATTTTTATTTATTATGTATTTGCCATATAACTCCTACAACTTCTCCATCGCCTCCCCCACACACAATGCATTCCATCTGAAACATGAAAGTGAATTCAGACTCTTTTATTTGTAATCTCAGGTGCATTGATGTAATGTTTCAGTTCACTGGATTGATCTTCTGACAGCTTTTTTGAAGTATAACTGATACACAAAGAACAGGATGGTATTAAGTGTATACTTTGATGAGTTTAGATGTAAAGTTCCACCAAAAAAAAGCCCTTAATGCCAATTAAATTCAGCAGAATTGCAGAATATATCACAAGCAATAATCAGCTCCTTTCTACATAATGAAAATCAATAAGAAAAGAAAATTAAGAAAAAACGTGTTTACAATAGTATGAAAAGAATCAATAGGAAAAATCTGCCAAGAATGTGCAAGATTTGTAGACTGAAATAATACACTGATGAGAGAATACAAAGACACAAATAAGTGGAAAACTACCCCACATTAATTGACTAGGAAATGTAATATTGTTCAAATATTTACATTACACAATCTATAGATTACAGCATGTATTAATTTGATCTTATCCTTTTCAAAAATCCCAATGGCATTTTTAAAATAAGTAGAGAAATGCACAAAAGAGTCCAACTAACCAAAAGTAATACTGAGAAAAAAGAATAAATCCAAAAACTTTACATTTCCCAATTTCAAAATATATTGCAAAGATTCCTTATCAAAGATAGTGGATATGTCAAGAGCATAATTTAATCAATGTATAATGCAAATATGTATCATAGCACCAGATTGTATATAATACACACAATATATAAATACATACAATGATTTTATTGTAAATTTTTAAAAATATTTTTAAATACTATGGAGTCAGCATAAAGACAAGTGTATGTATTCATGGAACAGAAGACAGCATTCAAAAATAACATATTAAATAATCTTTTACAAAAGTATCATTTCCTAGTTTTACCCAATATCCATAGATTTTTGAGAATTGAAGAAAAATCATAGGCTAGTCAATGAAGGGTCTGTTTTCAAGTGAGAATACAGCTTCCTGTCTGGTGATTTCATACTCATTTCAAATTCTGAGACAGATTGATTATCAAATCCAGTAGGATTTTGCCCTTTAAAGCATTTAAACCCAGACTATCCATTGCTGTTATTGTTCTAACATAGTGTCATTCCTCTAAGTCTACTTTTCTTTTAGCTGAAGTTCACCTTTTAAGAATATACAAAGGCCAGAAATGTGACTCTGGTACAACACTTGTCTTGCATATACAGATCACTGAGTTTACTCCACAGACAACAAAGCAAAACAAAGATGAACATATAGGGCCAGGGGTGTAGTTCAGCAGAACAGCACCTGCCTGGCAAGCACAAGCTTATGAATTTGATTCCTGATACCAAGAAAAAAAAGTGTATATATGGTGAGATCCTAATAACTGAATATTTGTGTATCTGAATAACATATTATCTGGATTTCAATTCTAATGGTGCATTCTATTTTATTCACAGTACTTACCATTATTGATGAGAAAAATTCTGTCAATGTATTTATTGCTACTTTGTAGGCAAATCTGGTTTTTGTTTTTCTCTATTGATTTCAAGGTATTATCTAAAATTAAATTTACTGTATATATTTAAATACAACAAGATGTGTGGTAGGATATACGTAGCAGTAAAAATGCTGTGTTGAAGTGGGTTAGTACTCATCATTTTACTTAGTCACTCATCTAGGAACAGCCAAATCTATTCATTAATCATGAATACCACATGTTGTAATTTTATCACCTTTTATCTTTATTATACTAACTTCAGTGTTATATGTACTTCTTAGAATATTTAAATATGCATATTTGCATCCCTTTTTTAAACCTAAATTAAAACTCACAGAAATAATCTTTTTAAACATATATTTCCATTATTCTTCCATTCCTTTTCTTGTAAAACAGTTATGGGCCAGATTCTTGAGCTTCACAAAATACAGTTTATATTGCCTAATTCTTTTCAATTTTTTAAGTATCACTTTTCTTTTTATGGAGCAGTTTTATTAGGTTCTACTTCAATGCCCCTTAATTCACTAAGTATCCATTGCACATACTGGAGAGCATCTCCTCTGTTGAATTTGCTTTTTAATTTCAAAGGTTATCTTGATGCCCTACATCTGAAATCACCCTAAGACCCAAAGGAGATACCCCCTGGCCTAACCAGGCCACACCCACCCAACTCCAAGGAGCAGTTAGGCCTGGGAATCCAGTCCTGTACGCTGACAGGTGCATGGGTTGAGTTTCAGCACACTGGGAATCTTGGAACTTTGCTGCCTTGGAACAAGAGCATGCCTTGAGTCTGAAATCACCCTAAAATCCACAGGAGGTATGAGTGGCCCTAACCAGGCCATGTCCAGCCACCTCCAAGCAGCAGGGGGAGCCTTAGAACTTCACCTTAGGCAGTAAGACCATGCCTTATAACCAATGCCCTCAGAAGCCTTAGAGCTTCGCTCTCAATAAGTAAGTCCATGTCCTGTATCTGAACTCACCAAAGGACACACAGAGTTCCCTGAGGACCAACA